GTTCCAGACTCCATTTGTCTTTTGCCGAAGCTCAGACTCTGGCACAGGATCGGGAACGTTGGAAGCTCTGCCCGACGTGTCTGCTTCCGCGACCCGAATGGAGAAGCGGCGATGGAAGATGATGATGAAGAGTTGCGGTGGTTTGGGCACGTCTTGTGAATGCTTGCCGAAGATAAAACAGTAACTTCTTCCCAACCGATCGGCGAAGTGTCTCGAATTAATCTGCTACAGACTCAAGTTATCTGCTGCTGAAACTGAAGCGCTGGCACAGGATCAGAAACGTTGGAGAGACAGTCAGATGGTTCTGCCTCCTCGACCCAAAAAAATAAACGGCCAGTGAAAGTGAGAGAATCACGGAATTTCTGAACTGGCTAACGTTTCAAGACAAACATAACCATGGGCATGAGTTAAAGTGTCCTATATTTACATAAAAGCGCAGCGCAGGAAAGCACTAAAAATGACTGAACGCTGATTCTTCATTACATTTGGTAGAAAGATGGTAAAACAGTATACTCATTAAAAAAATACCCTTCATTTCTGGAATAGGATCGCTTATCATCTTCGTCGGCTCACTTTTTTTCTATACCTGGAGGTTTCAAAATAAGGATAATTTTCTTGTTTGGCAAAATATTTTAGCGCATGAAATCGAAATATACATTGTTTTGCATTTTTAAACCGTGGACATCAATCGTAATCTATGAAACTTTATTCTAGCGAAGCTAACGATGCTTGTCATACATTCTTTAAAATGTTAGGACTAAATCACTGATTTCGATAACGAAATCAAATCGTACTTTCAGAGTGAAGGATCTGCAAATTGGGGTTTTTTTAGATAAAAAACGGATTTGACACTCTACACAGAAGCGATACTTTGCAAAATTGAGATGATCACGAGAAGCATGAGCTTTCTTCACAGATGCATAAATTAACTTGACTCGTAGCAAGACAAATAATGGTTCGTGACCATGCTAAAATTCATAATCTCAGGCGTTGCACAATTAGCTGGCTACTGCCTCATCTAACGCTGGTTTAACTCTCTGAATTCAACTTTTTCTAATAAGTTAATTGAAAACGCTGAATTAAAATTTGCTTGCACGGTTTTC